TCATTTCGGGCTTTTGAGTTTTGAGCTGGTTATGCTACGGTTTTTATTACAAGTACGGCGCACACACCATCAGGCTCGCCTAGGTCCCATGGTTTCAAATGGATGGCTGTAAGCCTGATGTGTGGGTGTGAGCCGTACACCTAGAACTGAAGCGCTACCAGCTCAAGACATCGGTTTTGTATAGTGTATTTGTATGTGCTTCTTTGTCTCTCGCCGCAAGCAAGTTGTCCACTCTGCATCGAACGGTTTTCGTATCATGTCGCGTCTGTGTGTGTGTGTGTGTGTGTGTGTGTGTGTGTGTGTGTGTGTGTGTGTGTGTGTGTGTGTGTGTGTGTGTGTGTTGTGTGTGTGTGTGTGTTGTGTGTGTCTGTGTTACATGGTTGGGGGTGCGTTACCCCGTGAACCTGTAAAACGACCCATACGAGCCGAAGGCCCAAGAGCAATATCTATACACCTGAAAGCCACGGAGAACAGGAAACACCGCACATCAGCCCAGACTAGCGTCCGAAAGGGGTAACTGAGTTTCAGTGAGCCCACATACGTTCCAACATCCTCGCCAGACGTAATGGTTCCCATTTCATGGCCTCCCAACATGCTCTGTTGATGATCGAATCCGTCTTAAGCACGAAGATCATTATAGGCTGGGCATTCCAATGGCACGTGTTTTTCATCCTCGATTCGGCTATTAGTACCACAACAGCAGCAAAACCACTGCCCCCTGGGGACATGGTACTTGCCCCTTCGTGCTCTGTTTGTCTCCAAAGCCCAACAACATAAACGAAACTGCATCAGCTTACGATGTGCTAAACGAGGAATGAAAACCTTAGCATGTGTTGGCCACATGACGGCTGCGGCTCCCGAAAAGGGCAGCCCCATCCAGTGCTTATAGTTCGCCATTTGCACTCCCGGTTGCTTCCCATCTGATGGGTACTCCTCTGGCAAGACAGTCAGACGCGTATGGTCCCAGCCGCTCATCAAACGCTCCCTTAGTGCCGTTATCATCGCTCCTTCGGATAGAGGCCTACTCAACAACCAGTCAACATGCTCCTTTACCCCCATGACTTCTTGCGGTATTCCGCTCCAAGTATTGCACTCCAAGAAGGAAAACAGTCGTAAATATTGAGGTTCCCCAACCCTCCCATTCCGGGTTGGTCAGAGCATCGGCTATCTCCTGCCGTAAAACTGCATGAGCAATGGACCCCGCTTGCTTTTGAAGGCGGATGATGCCATTGGCATGGGAGGTGGTGGTGGCGGTGGTGGTGGTGGCGGCATGCTGCCACCGGCGGTGGCGCCACCGCTACCAGTAACGCCGACTCCGCCCGCACAGCCCTTGGAAGGCATATTTACAGCGTTGTCATCGTTCTCAGCATCCATCTCTCCGCCTTCTCCACCATCGCTGTCGTCGTCGCCGTACTGGCTTGGGTAGCTACCCTATAAGGCGCCGGTGCGCCCCCCTTCAGTCTCTTCTTGTAAAACAGTTCGGCCCCGTTTGTGCTCATACGATTTTTGTTGGCTACAGGCGAGATACCTTGCGATAGAGGATGCTATGTAGTACCAATAACGCGTTTCATCCGGGCGAGATATTATGTTTGGTCCGTTACACACACACGGCCACACGGCCACACGGCCACACACACACACGGACATGGGCAATCCTACAGGTCGGGCCCCCCCTGGGCGCTTCGCGCTGGGGCCCCGCCCAGCAATCTGGTCGTTCATGGATCACACCCGGATATGACAGCAGATAGGGACGGTTCCTATCTCATAACCAGGGCACAATTTATAGGTGATCACAAATCTTGCAGACTCACAGTCCATGCTCCATGCACAACACGTACCGGAAGGACCTGAAGACCGCATGTACGGCAACTAACTACCGTGTGGGCGGTGCCTTACCTCTCTCATGGCTCATTGGCAGATAGACTGTAATCATCAGCGAAACAAAAAACTAAATTCAACATATTGCAACCAATAAGCTCAACCAGGTACAGTATCCAATCCATCCACACTCAAGCAAAACAGCGTCAGCGGTCAGATGCGGCGACCATAAATGGGGTTCATTCCGGACTGTTGCCTGCTCTTGGTGAGTTGCTGCATGCCTTTCCTCTGTGGCTGCCACGACTGTGGCTGCTGGTACGCCAACGCTATTGGACCTAATGGTGCAGAAGACGTCCTTAGCTCTTCATGTTCCTCACCCTGGTCGGCGGAGGGCTCAACAGTGCTGATGATGCTTGCCCGTGAGTCCAACGGCGCCATAGATACCCCCACACCGGGTGCACCGGGGGCTTGTCGACTATTTCCACGGCCCGGCCTAGTGACCCTGCTGCTGGCCACTGAGCCTGCGAAAGATCCAACACGACTGCCGGGGGCGCGAATATTACCGGAGGCTGCACCTGCTCCCCACATACCCGGCTTGAACCAGAGGCGGTTTTGTGCCGACTGCTGTGACTGCAGTGGGGGTTTAATAGCTCCCTGCATTTGATCCACTCGCTGGCCGCTGGGCGGCGGTAGAGAGCCGTCTAGGGAGGACGACGCGTTTCCCCCTTGGGGCAGAGACAGACTTGCCTGGCTTAGCCCGGTGACCCTACCGTTGTCAGCGATAGAGCCTGTGACTGATTCGGCTTGGCTGGTAGGCGGCAGATTTTGGCTAATTCCCTTTAAGGCCGGATTCAGCCGGGGCCATTGAGGCATCTGCAGCCACTGTGACGACCTCAACATGTCAAGAGAACTCTGTGAAGCGCCTGGAGGTGGAGGGGCTTGCATGGAGATCCCGCTTGGAAGCGGCACTAGCTCACTCGCCTGGTTTACCCCAGCGGCCCTGTTGCCGGTGAGTGTGCTTGTGACAGATCCCGCACGACTCCAGTTGGAGGGCCGCATAGACCATGCGGCCGGATTAAACCAGGATTGCCGTGTCGTCCCAGCTGTCCGCTGGGTTGACCTGATAGATTCTCTTGTCCACTGGGAAAACCTCTGTATAGGCTGGAAAGCTCCCATGAAGCTTTGCAGTCGGCCTCCTGATTGAGATTCGTATCTGGCCATGTTGGCCATGCTCGGTGTTGGTTGGCCCCAAGGGTTGTACAGCGATTCAGTGGATGACGGTCGCAGCCCGGGCCCATCACCAGCAGAGTACATGTTGTTCAGGTGCATCGGTGGCATGGTTCCATCGGACGGGGGGCCGTAACCAAGGTCAAGACCACCTCTACGGGATCTACCACCACCAAGCATACAACCAGCGTCATTGCAGCAACATCCATACAACTTGGAAAACCAGCTGTACTTGCAAGCCAGTACCATTAAGGTTATTCCCGCCAAGATGGCGGCTAGGATGCCCAAAAAGCGGCCCATTTTAGCTGGGCAGTCATTTTCGATGAAACAACTGACGCCGGCAGGGTTAGCACAGACCTGCATATGTGGGGGGAGGCCGTGATGCAGCAGCGGTTACAACATGCAAACGCTTGGGAGCGGGGCCGGTCAGGCAGCCAGGTCATTATGGGGAGCAATAATTCTTTGCCCGCCTGTTTGGCGGGACGATGTCATTGTGTGCGATATTCTCCCGCTTTCTCGGAGTGTTGGGCTGGGGACATCCCGGTGCGCTGGTCATGTTGTGGATGATATGCGCGGCTATGAGTGCTATGGCTGTAGGTAAGGGCATGGCGTTGTTGTAGTGGGTGCTGTCACACTAGCCTGTGCGTGGGATGACGGATAGAGTTAGGGGTAATGTAGCAGCTGGTCGAGCGCTTTGCGTGTATTTGCAGCTGTTATGTGTGCCGTACTGTGCACCAGCTACTACAGGTAACCCCACTCTCCCTATGGCATAAACATGCCGGNTACCGACCG